ATATATATATATATCAGAAAGGATTCCGTGATGCCAAATTTCGAGTATAAAAACCGCATCAGTACACAGCCCAACAAGACATATCACTCGTTATACTAGCAGAGAATAAAATGAGCAAATTTTGCGGATCCAGTCTTATGTTAAGTTTAAGCAAGAAGAGGCGGGACGTTAAGGATTATCTACCTCAATGAGGACCTGAAACTAACTTGTTCAGAAGACGTGGCAGGGAAACGACTAAGCGTGGTTAATTTGTGATCATCATCTGGATTTTCACAAAATTTGAGCTTACTTGGAATACAAAAACCAACCAGTGCAAAATTTTCTGAATAAAATACAGTGTAAAATGGGCAGTGCAGGGCCCGACGAAAATTTTCATGGCTCACCACCACCAGATAGGCAGTGAGGGCACATGTGGGCTACTTATTTTTTAAATAAAAAATTAAATATACGAATCCCCTTCCCATTCAAGGGCCAAAATGTTGGGTTGTTGGGCAGACTATTCAGTCCAATGCCCAAGATATTCCCATCACTCACATTTTGTGAAAACAAGGCCAAGGATGCCAGGCCAGACACACCCGCGGAGTTTTCCTGGGACAGTCCACACAGAATGGCCTACCACTGGAACCCAAGATGAAAAGGAAAGAAAGGAACTTTTGTTATGATTACATAGCTATAAGTTTACCAATTCTGAGGGGGATAATAGATACATCTTTACAGTATTTCAACGCGAGAAGTAGAAAAGTTGTGAACTTATTTTACTGTCTTATACTCACTTTAGATCTTTGTCAGGACCAGTAAATCCAAATTCCAGAAAAGAAATGGCCTCTTTCACCTGTCAAATGCTTATCAGTTTCCAGAAGAGAGAGAATAATCTATGATATACTTCTGACCATAGATATCTTTTGTGCAAGTTTTCTTCACATACCATCTGAAGGAAAGTAGTAATATGTCTGCTAAGGTTGCTCCTCTCCAGCTGCAATATTTTAACATTTTTTCACATTTAGAAAACCTTATATGAAATTCCCAAGCGTGTACTTCATATCTTGATGTTTGAAGGCATACCTTTTTAAGCACTTCATGAGGAAGTAAGGAGAAGCGTACAAAACTTAAAAATAAGTCGAGAGACTTGAGCCTTTCACCAAAAATAAGCTCGGGTGTTGAATTCAGCAGCTTCTCATCTACTCTGTCCCATGCATTTAACTCCTTTGATTGGGAGCAATAAAGTAAGATTGCATTAAGAACCCGTTCTTCACAGGTTACGGTCAAATCTGGATGCTGCAATATACATATTATATTTGATAAATTCCCCGGCCCATATGCCAATACTTCAACGAAGATAATATGCATCAACATATAAATCATAAACTTAAATTTCTTACCAACTTATCACAAAATAAGTCTGATATTTTACATATTTTAGTCACTTAACTTAATTTCATAGAAAGGAGCATATTTGACTAAGCCTAAAAAAGTAGTACTGTTTTAAAAAATAAGTGAACACAGTCAAAGTTACTCTCTCTTTTTTGGCAACATGATTTGGGGAAAAAAGAAGTTACTACTTACAAGTAACTTTAAGCTTAGATGAGTTTGGCTGAGCTTAAAATTTACTTTCAAGTACTTTCACTTATTTCTCAAGGCGTAGACATGAAAAGTAAATAAGTTAACATAAGATGTTCCAGATGGAGAAGACTGCTTTTGATGTTTTCTAATGTATTCTCTATCAATGAAACTTTGAGAAAAGAACTCACCTGGAGAATGTTGCCAAAGGTTGCTTCCTCTAGCATGACAAAATCAAAGCTCGCAGTTGTGCAGTAATCAAAATGCATAGAAAAATTCCTTTCACAGGTTTCTTCAATGAGTTTACACGAAGGAACAGATGAAACAACTTGCAGAATTGGGCACACTGAATCCTGCAACAAAGTCCAAAAGTTAGCCACGTAAAGTTACCCAAATACTTTGCCAAAACTGTCTGCTTCCTCGTCCATTAAACTTGGCATAACAGAAAAAGTTGTTGTGTGACCTTCCTCAATTATGAGAACTCCATCCCTGCATATAATATATAGATGAGAGGTATTAATACTTTATAATTCATTGTCAAAAATGATCTCCGCTCGTGTTCACAATCCTGACACTGCACCAGTTCTCGATTTTCTAAATTGTTGTCCCCGTCTAGGATTTTGATTCAGTGGTAAATAATTCAAAGAGAAATTCTTTGGACTCGAATCTGAACTACGTGACAAGGGTTAAATACACCAGCAGTTGCTAAATGTTTAGCAAAACTTCATGTTGGTCACTGATCAGAAAGTTTGTTTCCCTTTCTTTTAAGTTTTACTAAAGGAAAAATGTGACATGGTAGTCAAGTCATTTGCCGCCTAAGCTGCCAACTAGACTCCATGCCAACTATTTTGTTTAATCAAACTAACCAACGTTACCAAAATGATCAAATTGTAACACATGTTTAAGTTCAGTGAACTTCTTTTGAAACAAAGTTTAAGTTCAGTGACCAACTTGAAAAAAATAGTGACCACTATTGTCTTAAACCCCGAAAGGTAAAGGTTACCGTATTACCTCTGCTAGATGTTCTAAAAGTGTTTTGCAACACTCTTGATGAAGAAGAGTAACCCCAAACTGATCCGCTAAGAAAAGAAGCTGAAGTAGCAAGGTATCTACGAGAACTGAGTCTTCTTTGTAAACTTCTCCACCATACATGAAGTCCAGCATAATTGAGAATGCTTCAAAGCAGACATCTTTAAAGCAAACCTTCGAGGAAGCACTCTCACTCATTCCATTTGTGAACATCTGCATATTTCAATATTTTCACCATTAATCATGTCCTAGTACAAAAAAGTTAAAGAAGTGCAGAGAAATTCACATGGATATTGAAAGTACACAAGGAAAGCTCTAAACCTTCAAAATTTTCTCCAACGCATGAATTGAATGGTAATATTTCACTCTTTACTTACAAAAACTCTTTCAAAGTAGGATTTTGCCACATCTTACTTGCGTGTCATGCATTACACATTAACAAAATTATCCAGTTATCAAACAGAATAATCTATTTTCTTCATGACCTTTAAATTATACATTTTTTTTGGCAGCCGTAGGGGGAGGTTTTCATCAAGATATATCAGTTGATCACATATCCGTAACGACTGTGACTTATCAAGTACATTCGTTGCTTCCATGAAGTTTCATGAGTGATTAATTATCCCATTAAATCTGACACACATTTTCTATAATTCATTTTACAGGGTGGGTCGAGTGATAGTGGGAGTTTGGGGTAGAGAGTCTAATCTTTAGGTAAAGCAGAACAATCCAGTTGATAACTTTAGACCAATTGTGTAAATGGGTCCTTTTGTCGTGACAATAACTTGTCGCTATTGTGGACCAAGCATGCACTTAATGTTTTATGATATGAAGGAAGGAACCAAACAAGAAAGTAGAGTATAGTGAGCGTACCTTTGTAAAAGGGTAACTCCATAAACCAAGGATGATCTTATGTGACCGTGCAACAAAACCATGACCTTCAATATAAATGTCTACATCACTGTATTCACCAGTCGAGCAAAAATGATTAAGCCTCTTTACGTCAATGGGTAATCTGTATGGGAAAACAGTGATGCACGGGAGCCGAGAGCTTTGATATGATATCTCTACGTTTTTACCAGAGTTAAAGAGTTTCTTATTGAGTTTAAAGCGCTCTATCATTTCTTCACATTTCTTGACCAAAGTCATCACTTCAAACCGCAAGCTCAGGGCTTTTAGAGAACTGAGATGTGACTCTGGAATCTACATCAATTGTACATATAAGAGCTATTAGAAATATTGGCGTCAATAATAAGCCGCTTTATGAAAAAGAAATTACAGTTGAATTCAATATAAGCATCATGACAATGACAAACCAGGGAATGTGTGCAGTTTATGTAGTCTTGATGCTCAAGTGCAAGTGGACAGTTAAAGCAAAAATCTATGTCTCGGAAGCAGAAAGAGTCAAAAGTTAAACTTCCTAGTGCACCAAAATCAACTGCAACGAAGCCATGCATATATTCTAACTCATCATGCAACAGACATTAATCGTTCCATGGAGATATATAAAGTACATTCAGCGATGATAGATCAAGAATGAAATGTTGAAGACACGTCAGTAGATTCTTCGGCAATTTCTTCCTTCTCATTAAATGGTAATGTTCTCTGTTACTCTATTTAACTGCAGAAGTAAGGAACTTGTAATGCCAAATTAACAATCACTAAATTAGAATAGAAAAAGAAAAATACTTGTCATAATCGAATACATGAGAGATAATTCACCAGAAATGGAGACTAACCATAGTGCGGCCTGTGTATATGTATTCAAGGAGTGCGTGGAGCACGGCATAGCTAACATCTTGGAGATGGAAGACATCTTCATGTGAAGAACTAAAATCGTGAAACCCGGATGCCGCCAGTATGACCTTATGTGCCGGGACAGCCTTTTCCTCTTTTCCAACAATGAAAAACACATCGGAGAGTTCCCAATTCTCGAGAAAATTTTCAAGCCCCCAATTTTCATAATGTCCAAGATTTTCTTCCAATTCATCATCCACCCCCTCGTATTCGCCACAATCTACATGCTTCCACAAAGATATATGGTTTTGTGTGAGTGGAAGAACATTAACATTCCGATACCCGACATGTCTATCCCAACTGCTAAGTCCAACATACTGAACACTACAATTCGGATTCGAATCAAGCCACTGAAAAACAAGATTCTGAAAAGGATATCTCCCCTTTCCAATGCTAATCAACCCATCAAATATGCTAATCCAATAGCTCTGAAACGTCGACGAACAGTAGAGATCAACTCCGGCCACATCGACTACAGTTTTCCCATCAACCTCGATATGTAATCGTTTATTTCTATGACTACCAATAATCACAGTGTAGTGTGGACTATTATCCCTTTTGTAATGGTAATGCTGACTCCCTGCCTGCTCCCTAAAGACAATTGTGACATCGTTGTGCGCAAAAGCATCAAACGCTACACAACCCCTTCCGGCTTCCCTAAACCTCAAATCGTCCCGCCAAGCACACTCGAAGGGTGCAACAGTAAGAAACTTCTTCTGCTTTTTCTCCATCAATTATCCTTGATTGACAATAAAATTTTCTTCACTCAATTGAGACTGCTCTTGAAAAAGAAATCAACTTTACACGATATAAATTGAAAGTCCAGATCAGCAACTTGCAACTGGATAAGCTGTCCGGAGAGAGAGAACTGATCCAATTGAATCTACCAAGAATAAAACGCAACAAGAAATGGGATAAGTACTAAGAAAGGGAAGAAATTGACATTTTATAAAATTATAGAAATATAAGATACCACTGATGGAACTTCACTATCCAGGGCCAGAAAAAATAGCATAAAGATCTTTAGGGCTATGTTTGGTATGTCATAGTTCTAACTAATCTTTTCAGGACAAGAAAATTGGCACAAAAATCTTCCTTTAATATTGTTTAATACTGTGCAGTCGTAAGTACCAAACAAAGAATAACAGTTTCTTTAAGTTACCTTCTGGGATAAGCCAGAAACTGCTAGAAACAAAACCATCCAATTGCTGTAAATATATTAGCAACAATTCTACACCACATTCTCATCTAAATCCCAAGAAATATTTTGTGAATCTGGGAATTACTTATAAAAGAAACCAAAAAAACAAGACTAAGTAACAAAATATCAGATTCTGAAGAAACATTCACCTCAAATTTCTTGAGACCGTCTCTTTCAGCCAATGACATGAGCAATTATAATGATATATACAGACATAACTTAAAAACCACAGTATGTGTAGGGGTGGGGGTGGGGTGGGGGGTGGGTAGGTTAATGGAAGATTGGGATAATAGACAGATGCTGACAGAGAGACCAAACAAGATATTTTTGGGGATCCACGTGAATTTTTATGGTGAAATGGTGAAACGTGTCATTGAATACAGGGATTTTGGCGATCTACGAGTTAACACGCACAGCAATCAGATCTTGCTGTCCCTATCATCCACGTCGGCTGTGATGGCAATTTTTGGATCTTCATAGGCAAAATTTTGGTCCGCTAATTTATATATTTATGTAAAGATTGGATCTCAACTTATATCCACTTGTTCAGTAGAACGACAGTATATAAATATCAAACAATCATTTAACTCGTGTTTGGTCTGAAATAAAATTAAATTATTAATAAATTTTGATAGTGATATGATCACACCGTGAGCTCAAGGACTATAATCTCGAGCATCAATACTTACTCATTGATAGAGGCCTCATCATCGGGGTCTCATGTGGTCCTCGAGGATGCTTGAGAACATCCATTATTGTTTTTACGAAATTTGGCGTCGCAGTCCTCGAGATAATACTTCGAGAAACATATCACTTGGTACTTCCCTTTGCCCAACATACTTTCTCGCCCAAATGTAGACGAACCCTATCTGATCAGAATTTTAAATTTATCCAAATATCTCAATCCCAGAATCCTATGTCTAAGAACAGTCTGTTTTGGAAAAGATTATAGATGAACTGTAACTAGATTTACAGTTATAATCCAATGTTTATCTTAAGGTAGACTTCTAAGGATAAGCACACATAGCTAACCAAGTCCTATCAGGAATGAGTTACCAACCTCTATAAATACAAAACTTCTATTCATTATTCAGGTACGTATAAATTCTCTCTCTAACATAAGTATCGGAGGAGCGACGAGGAAGCACTTCGACGCCTTTGTTTTAAGTACCGAAAGATTCTGTTCGTACTCATTCTCAATCTTCAAGCTCGAAAATGAACATGTATGATTTTTGGTAGCATCATTGGCGCTATCTGTGGGAAACACTACTAAAAGCCATGGTTAACACACGTTCAGGTGTTCCTCACCGGGCCCACCTCCTATTGCGGAGCCCCAAGCTCATCAAGAAAAATCATCAGCAATATCAGCTGCCCAACTACAAGTGGTTACCGTTGGTGCCTTCGAAGAACTCCATTAACAAGTTGCACTGCTAACTCAATTGCTAAGCTAGAGAAATTTTCATCCAGCGCAGAAGCCAACACCAACCCTAACAACAGGACAACCAAGGGGATTCATGGCCGATGCTCGAGCTCAAGATAGCCGCGATGCCCATGACAATGGTAGATCCGAGGCCTCGGGCGTACCTCTAGTGGCCTCGGCCTCGAGATTGGTTACTATGGACTCAAGCGTACTCGTTCGACTCATACAAGATGAGATCACCGCTGGATTACAACAGAATACAATAGGACAACCAGATTTACCCATAACAGTCCTTTCACACCGAAAGTGATTTCCTATCAGTTTCCTGACAAGTTCAAACACCTCCGCATGAAGGAGTACGATGGGAGCACTGGGCCCATCAATCACCTCAATGTATATATGGACGTCATGAATCTACAAATGGCACAAGATCCTGTGACGTGTAAAGCTTTTCTACAAACTTTGACTAAAGTTGCCAGGGATTAGTTCTCTATCCTAGAGCCCAATTCCATTGCTTCATTCTCTGATTTGGCCGACAAGTTTTCCACCTTCTTTGCCAGTACCAAACGCATCGAGAAAACACTTGCTTCCCTCATGCAGCTCCGCCAAGGACCGAACGAATCCCTACATAACTTCATGATGAGATTCAACAAGGAAAGACTTCTGATACCCGACTTTCACATAAAAGCAGCAATATTCGCCCTCACATATGCCATAAGATGCGAGGCTTTCAAAATGTCTCTGTCAAAAACTCCGTCGAAGTCAATGATCGAGCTCCTTACCCAAGCTGAAAAATATATGAATATGGAGGAGATATTGAACCCGAGGAGAACTCATCATCTTACCTTGGAGAAACCCAGAACAAAAAAAAAACAACATGATCCCATTCCCCATCTAGAAGTTCCCAGGAATAAGCAGAGATAGGAAACACAGTCGATGCCTTTCACCCGACTGAATACTTCTAAGTTTAACATTCTGATGGAGATCAAGGACATGAAGGAGCTTAAATGGCCTTCAAGGATGCAGTTCCATTCTAATACTCGAGATAAGAGCAAATATTGTAATTATTATCGAGATCATGGGCATACGACAAAGAACTGCAAAGCCTTACGTCAAGAGATTGAGGCGCTAATAAAAAAGGGATTCCTAAGCTCATATGTCAGCCATGACAACTGCCCAACGAACGATCGTGATAAGGAGAAAGGTCTCGAAGGAAGGGAGAATGATAAGCCTAAAGCAGGAACCATTCAGATTATTGTCAGGGGTATAGCATCAGGAAAAGACTCGAACAGTGGATGTAAGCAGTATGCTAGGCAGTACAACCCAACTTCAAGGTAAATTCATGATATCCTAGAAGACATCACATTTGGGTCACAAGACTTGGAGGGCTTATCACATCCTCACGATGATGTCTTGGTCATATCTACCATTATAGCTAATTTTGAGGTAAAAAGGATTCTGATTGGCAATGGAAGAGGAGCCAACATACTTTTTCATGAGGCATACTCTAGGATAGGTATTTCTACCGAATAGGTCAAAACAATTAAAACCCCACTTCAAGGATTTAGAGGCGGTATGATCATCTCGGAGGGAGTCGTCAATCGTCCCCTTACCTTGTGATTGAATCAAAAGCAAGTGATGGAAATTACATCATTTCAGGTAGTTCGAGCTTCAATGGATTACAACGTCATTCTGGGTTGGTCATTGCTCAACAAGATCAAGACCATTGTTTTCACCTTGCTATGAAGTTCCCTACAAGTAATGATGCTTGCTATGAAGTTCCCTACAAGTAATGATGTAGGGATAGTGCGTGGAGACCAATCAGCTGCTAAATAGTTATATATTACTATTGTTAGGGGAATAAGTACCAACGTCATGCAAATCTCGTCATCCAAAGCCGAGGTCTACCATATATGAAGACTTTCTCCTATGGAAAAATTAGTAAAGCTTAAGCTCGAGCACGGTAAAAACGTGACTGTTGGTCGAGGTCTTGATGTCATGCTCATGGTTGAGCTTATAAGCTGCCTGATGTGTTCGCCTGGAATGTTGAGGACATGCCCTGGATAGACCCAATGTAGTGGTCTACAAACTTAATATTAACCTAGGAGCTAAGCCAATCAAGCAAAGGAAGAGACAGTTTGTACCAAAACGCCATGAAGTCGTACAAGAGGAGATTGATAAGTTTATCAATGCTCGATTTATTTGGGAAGTTTAGTACCCCGACTAGCTCGCCAACATTGTCCTTATCAAGAAGGCTAATAGAAAATGGAGAGTATGTATTGACTTTACAGATCTTAACAAGGCATGCCTGAAAGACAGTTATCCTTACCTCTGATCGACAACCTCGTAGATAGCACATCGGACCATAAATTGTACAGCTTCCTCCATGCACTTTCTGGATATCACCAGATCCTCATAGCTGAGAAAGGTCAAGAAAAAACATCCTTCATGGCTAAATCGACCATATATTGTTATAGGGTCATACAGTTTAGGTTGAAGAATGCATGAGCAACCTATCATAGGCTTGTCGACAAAATATTTGCTCAGTTGATTGAGAAAAAAATTGAGGCCTAGTCGACGACATGGTAGTCAAGAGCAAACAGGTGGACTAACATATCACTGATCTAGATGAAGAATTCTCTACCCTTCGGGAATACAACATAGAATTAAATACAGTAAAGTATGCTTTTGTGATAGCCTCAAGCAAGTTCTTAGGGTTCATGATCACGCACAAATGAATTGAGGGCAATCCAGACAAAATACATGCGCTGACGTCCATGGAGTCTCCTAGGAACAAGAAAGATGTACAAAAACTAACAGGTTGGGTTGCTGCTTTAAACAGTTCATGTCTCACGCAGCATATAAATGCTTCCCATTTTTCAAAGCTCTCAGGGAAAATCAAAACTTTGAGTGGGATGAAGATTGTGAGAAAGCATTCCAGAAGCTCAAATAAACATTGGCAACCCCACCGGTCCACAAAGCCAGAGCTTGGAGATACTCTATTTTTATACTTGGCAATTTCTCAAAATGCAGTAAGTGACATATTGGTGAAAGAAGAGAACAAGGCTCAGCAACCAATTTATTATGTGAGCAAGATGTTACTTTATATA